ATTAATGTATAATATAAATAATTTAGGTCCCAAAACAGAACCCTGAGGCACTCCACATACAATGTCCAGCTCACTCGATTGGTATTCACCCAACTTCACAAATTGTCACCTAACTGTTCTGTGCTTTTCTAGGTGGTTGGGTAGGCTCTGATAGTAATGATTACGGGAAACACTGAAAGAGGAGAATTTAAAACCTAAAATTGGAATTGTATTTTCTCAACTTCTAAAAAGAACCAAAATACAAACAGAAGCAGAATGAAATGCCTGTAGATTTTAAAAGAGTGAAACAAAGAACTAAATTGCAAGCAACGGCACAGCTGGATTGGAAGATAGAGTCTTATCAATATTAGAACAAAACATCATGGAAAAAGGACAAAAAGCAAGTTAAACACATTCAATAAAATTAATTTGTGAAGTGATAATAAATAACTAAATAACAAAAATGAAAAATAAAAAACAAAAAATTAACTCAACTCAATACCAGCATGTTGGGGGAAAATTGTCACCTAACTGTTCTGCGCTTCTCTAGGTGGTTGGGTAGGCTCTGAGATTGGGAAAACAATGGAGCGATATGACCCAGAGGAGAACAAGTGGGAGGTCATCGGCAGCATGGCAGTTCCCCGCTATTGTTTTGGCTGCTGTGAGCTGCAAGGTGTGCCTGCACGTTTTTCAAAAAACATAAAAGTGTGTTATCCAGTGCTATTTTTATATTTACTCAGGCGCTTTTATCAGCCTTCAAAATTTCTCATATGATTACAGATACTATTGAAACCCTCTTCTTGCTTGTGTTTACCACATTTTATTTCTGTGCTTCTCTGATGCCATCATTGCATGAACAGTGAGGCAACTCTGAACTAAATGCACTTTGTCTCTTTCCAGGGTTCATTTATGTGATTGGGGGTATCAATGATGAAGGAATGGAGCTACGTTCAGCTGAGGTGTACGACCCCATCTCCCGCCGGTGGAGTGCCCTGCCCGTTATGGTCACACGTCGAGCTTATGTGGGCGTTGCCTGCCTCAATAACTGCATTTATGCAGTGGGTGGCTGGAATGAGGCACTGGGTGCACTGGAGACAGTGGAGAAGTACTGTCCTGAAGAGGTCAGGTGTCACTAAAGACACTTGACATCTTCTTTATAACTGAGTATAGTCTTTGCTTGATTCTAACATTCTCTTTGGTTGTCTTTCAGGAAAAATGGGTGGAAGTGGCTCCAATGTCCACTGCTCGTGCAGGTGTGTCAGTGTCAGCAGTTAACGGGCTGCTGTACGCTGTCGGGGGCAGGGCCACCAGCAGAGACTTCTCTGCCCCGGTGACAGTGGACTCTGTGGAAATCTATGACCCTCATCTGGATACCTGGACTGAGGTGGGCAATATGATCACCAGCCGCTGCGATGGAGGCCTGGCTGTGCTCTGATATACACGGATATCTCTGAACTTCCATATCAGCACTTCAGTCATCCAAAAACTGCAGAAACTGATAAACTGCACCTTAAGAAACACAAAAGTGTGTTTTTGTCTCTAGTAGGTTTTGACATTGATCATATATATCATTTAATCTACTGTATCATTTCTCATTTAATGGGGTTAGACATGCTTTTCTTTTTTATTTGTCCAGACCTTTTAACATTATTTTGGCAAAATATTAGTATGACATCGGATCTTCAACTGCCCAGACTACTTCCACTTACACTCCTACATCTGTTGCATCTCATCTGCTGCTCTGTTTCAATTCATTAAATGATTTCAAAGGAATACCAGAATGGAAACACTTATTTTCCATTCCTGCGTATTTGAAGACAAAGCTAACCTGCTGGTGATCATATTTTTTCACAGTGGATTAGTGGTATTTTTCATGGACCAGAGTTTTCTTCATAAGTCTAAGAATCCTGCGAGGACTATGAGTACCATTCTTAGATAATAAGTAGTTTTTGTGTGTGTGTGGGTGCATTGTTACTTAGAAAATTTACCAAACCACTGGAGCCTACTTGATAATGGAGCCAAGAGAAACTTATGGTGGCTTGAAGTTTCATGGTTAGTGATTTCTGTAAATAGCTAAACAGCTCAGCAGTGTTGTCACACCAGTACAGTGATGATGCAAGTTTCCACTGGATTGTTTTTGTATATGTGATACTGTAAATACTTGTGCTTCTTTGTCACTATTTATGTTTCAATCCAAACCAGAAAAGACACTTCTATCATTTTACTCAATAAAATAACTAGAATTTACATTTCATTTATATTTCAACCTTGTAATGTTGGGAAACTCATGTCAATAATGGAGAATGCACATTTAGAAACTTTACGTTGCTTACAGTCAGTACTGTTACTTACCTCCTTGTGGCTCATCACATTAGAAAGCTACGTGAAGGTATTGCACAATGACAATATTGCCTTTCATGTATTACAGTCCCTTTGCAAAGATCATGATATTAATAGAACAGTAATTACATCTTTATTTAGTTGCTTTTCAGATGTAATAAACTTCATTAAAGAATTTTATTTGTATTTATTGTATTTTATTTGTATTATTATATTTATAGTAATTTGTGAAGATTACAATAATCAAATGATATTTTATTTTATTTTTTTAACTACAATTACAATGGCTTGCTTATGCACTAAGTGTTGTATGGAGGTATGTTAGGTTTGTTATTAGTTTGTAGATACAGTATAGGGCAAAACTTCCCTAAGTTAACTCTACATGTTTGAAGGAGAGACTTTAACAAGCACACTATAGCAACACGAGCTATATGACATCTCACTGGATTTGTGGTTCCTCAACACAGTCCATCTGTTGTCATCAGTTCTCTCGTGCCCCTATATTATAGGCTCTGCCTGTATTTGGCAGTATATTTGCCTGTATATGTCTGCTACTGGAAAGCAGCATGTTTCAGATTTACACTGAACATTTAATGTGAATATTTAGTAAAGTCCAGTTTAACTTGTGACTGTAAGATCTTCCTTTCAGATATGAAAAGAACAGTTTTTTTATATTGTGACACATTTTACCCTTAATGTGAGTGTCTAACTACTTTTAAATGGCATTTATAGATAAAATAAATCCCCCCATTTACATCGATTTCTCAAGCAGTGGTCTTGACTTCTATGAGGCCTGAGTTGGACAATAATGGAAAAGAAAAGTATGCAAATAGTCCCTGTGTTCACCTGTTGCCTGAAATTTGCATATGTAAAATTGTCATATTTGAATCTCTTCATACATATTTTCAAATAGGGTTCTTTTTGTTTATACTTTTCACTATAAGCAATGTACTGTCTGCCCTGCACTATATTTTGATCACTGATCTAGATCCTAATAGGTTAGAAGTTTGTTTCCGTTTTGCCACATGAAAACTGTTTATTCATTTTCAAAATAATATGACACATTTACACATCTCCCACTGGTCCCAAACATTCTAGAACACAATGAATGCTGAGAGTTGGTGTACTTATCTGTACATCTTTATTGAATTTTATATTTTTAATGACTCCATGTGGATCAAAGTACAAACTGTCCTCAGTTCAGAATCTCTTTGATCATCTTCTCAGTATAGAATTTCTTAATTATCAGTGTAGCCACCAGTGAGAAGGTGGTGACCAGAGTGAGAACAGTTCGCAGGGCTTTGAACCAGGCAGGGTAACCTGGCAGCAGGGTCAGGTCATAGTGCAGTGACAGACCCAGTCCCATGATAATGACCAGGGCTCCCTCTGCAATATTGTCCCTGCAGAGCAGTGCCAACCATGCCAGAAGTGATGGCACCACACTGTTCGCCAAGTTCATCCAGTCTGGCTGAGCCGGACTACCGGGAGGGATCGCAAACCCCCAGCGGGCACCTCCGAAGAAAGACACTATACAGGCTCCATAAACCACTTGAGCATATGCCACTTCAGGTATGAAGGACTGTGTGACATTCATCAGGAGAGGCGCAGACACGAAGGGGATGAGCCCAGATAAGCCAAGGTATAAAGCTGGTTTGGGAGACTGGGTGAGAGCCCTCAAACTGAATCCCTTCCTAGTGTTTCCTCTGTTGGAAGTACTTTGTGAATCCCCGTGGAAGAGACGCAAGACATGCAAGCTCACGGGCCTGGTACTCAACAGCAAGTTGGTGGAAGCTGATCTGGGTGGCATTAACGCTGATGAGGTTTGAGAGTGAAACAGCAGCTGAGCTTGTGTGGTGTAGGTTGGTGCTCTGGTGGTCTGCTGAAGACATCTCCATACTGAAGCCTGAGAACATAATAATCATATAGAAGTGCATAAGACGTCTTGGTTAGTGTATACTGACTCATACAGTACAATGAGTAGTGACCAAACTGGACTGATCGGCTGTAGCATTTTCTCTAGCTTACCCCAGAAATTAATCGTCTTCCAGGTGCAAACGTCATCATTTTCAATCTGAAAAGACACGTTATTTATTATTAATAAAACACTATCTATAACACACGCACTCTGGAATTTTAGCTATAATCTATCCACCCTAAGCTAACTTTAGTGCTGTTAACAGTCAACATACAATTTCTTTTAGCCATTTGCTGAACTTGATGCAATAACGTTAGAGAGCTATCATACTGTAACAACCCATAATAGACGTTGCAATTACCTAAAATTAATCTTTTATTGCTTGTAATTAAGCAGCTCCCAAGGCCACTACTGGCACAATAACACAAAATTAACAGTTACAAAGTTGACGTTAGCTAGCCAAACTAGAAGCCGTTTGCTGACTGCCATCCATTCTATCGGTGCTCAATTAAGTGACTCTCTCCGAATGTTTTCTTAAAATTTCTACAGCAGGGCTTTTCAACCAGTGGCCCGCAGACCCCTGGTGGTCCGTGAACATGCGTTCAATAATGTAATTTCAGTATGGAAATCACAATTTATTTTTAAACACATTTCCATATATTAATTATTGTTTGGGGACAATGAAATTCATGCAAATATCTAAAAATTAAAAAAGACAACGTGAATTTCAAGAGTAAATCAGTGCTCATCCGGCCTCCCCACCACACAACAGTGGTCCTCAGGCTGACTCGTAGTCTCAGTGGTGGTCCCTGCCTCACAATCATTTGAAAACCACTGATCTACAGTGTTGTAACTGAAGTAGACAATCTGATATCGACTATTTTGGCTGTTGGTGGCGGGGGAGGTTATATTCACAATGACAAAACCACATTTTACTTCCCATTAACACTGTGCTCTGTGAATACGTTGAAAAACCTGACGATGATTATATAATTCCAGGTATGGCCTCGTTGTTTTGTTTAAATGATAAAGTACTAAAGCTGTACTACTTAGCCAGTTCGACACTATAAACACCGTGGAATTTCACTATGTTGCATAATCGCTACAGGTCTTGAATGTAGCACCACTGAGGCTGTTCGAATCCCTCAATGCCAGCGCCAGTGGTAAGCGCTTCGAAAACCCAAACAAACGTCAGTAGCTGTGCTATCTAAGAGGTTTATAGTTGTGAAAAAGTTTGATCTCGTTAGTGTTTTCAGGTTTTGTGTACATTTGAAACCGTATCCATCGGAGGCTATCTTGCTCATGAGAAGGTAAGCGGTATCGTAATGAAGCATTGCAAGTTAGCTCGTTAGCACTTAGCAAGCTGATGAATGTGTGCTGCTGCTGCTGCTAAGGTAGCCATTTTGAAGCTGTGTTGTTCAACGAAGCCAGGTCTGTTTACCTCTATTAGGTGTTAGTGACAGCTGCTTAAATAAACAGTTTTAGCCACCTCAACCATATTAAATGCGTCTTTACCTTGCGAACCCCCCTAACCGCGCTAATTAATTCCAACTAACTAGCAGTTTTTGCGTGTTACTGAACAGGCTAGACAACACTAGCTATTAGCTAACAGTTGCTACGCTAACATTAACCTCAGTTAACTAAGCACATTTAGCTAGCAGCAGAGTTTCGACAGATCTGATAACGTTATTTGTTAATGATTAATGTTGGCAAACAGCACGGCTCGATGCACTTCAGTTCATAACGTTTAGCTAGTTAGCTGGTGAAACATATCTAACGCTATTATGTGTTGTATTGATCTGCTGCAGTGTTTGTAGACATCGATTTCCCACACTCTGCTAATGTTAAATTGGATAAGTTTCACACATGGCGGTATTTGTGTTTATGTCATTCGTGTGCGTATTATCGTACAATGAAATAAATGCCTGCTGCACATTGTATCCCGTGGCCTTGGCAAACTCATTGATGTTGAGCTGTTACATAATATTTCAGTGAGAATACATTAACGAGTCCAGGACATTTCTGAGTTTGTGAGTCAAGGTTGGCGTTGAGCTGTACTATAACGCATGTTTGAACGAGGTGTATGAGGGAAGAATTGTTTGAGAGATAGTAAACCTCAGTTACACTCACTGCCAAGCTTGTTTAGACGATCCTCAGCTAGGGGAAAAGTCCTGAGAAAGAAAGTGTTCAAGTTATTTTTACATTGGTATAAATATTTCATTTACCAAAGCCAGCACAATTTTATAAAAGAGCCAGCTTTCAGCATGAAATGGTTCAGAGATCAGAGTCAAGAGTTTAGTCTCAGAATGTGTTTAAACTGTCAAGCAGTTTTAAGTTATTGGCTGTCTCCTGAATTTGGAAGCAATTTGGGGGTTCAATAAGGGTCTTCAGTGAATACCTTTTATAATATCTGACACTCTGTAGCTGTTTGCAGTAACACAGGTATAGAAATAAAAAGGGGAATGGTTTAAACTTAGTTTTTTTGGTTTTGGAATCCCAATATACATTCAGTTGCCAGTTTGTGTGCAAAATTAAGTAACAAACACTGTCAAATACAGCAGCCATGCAGTTCATCTGTTTAACAGGGGTTTTTTGTCACTTCCAAGATTATTTTAGAAGCTGTAGTTTGGGCTGTTGTATAATTATATCGTGCTATAATGAGAGGAGTTTTTTTTTTCATTATTCTAATAATTCATTATAACATTTCACAATATAGTCCATCAGCCTCCAAAATAGACATTGTTAATAGTGTCAACAACAAAAAAGTAGAATTTACTGCAGGACTCTTGAATTAATATGTATTAGTTAAGATATGTGTACTTCTGAAATTGGCAGTAGAGTGTAGGTATATGTGTATTTTTCAACCTGGAGCTTTGAGGTGACTAATACCGTCTTTGTTTAACACAGGTCCACTCTGTTCCTGTGCCAATACCACCAAACCTCAGCAAGAAAACTGAAAACTGCACTGGAACTTCCTGTGTGAGAGAAAACTCATTCAAGAAGGAAAGGAAGGATCCACTTGACAGACTTTGGGCACATGCTGTTTTACAGCCTTCATTTTTTTTCCCTTTCCCAAGCAAAGCAAGTTGATTGACCTGTCTCAAGGGATCTTTTTTTTGGACACATTTAATTGTTATGCATCATATGATATGAAGATCTTTTGACTTGTGGAAGATTTTTGTTTAGCTTTTGAGCTTGCAGATCTATGAAATCAGAGCTGTACCCTACATCTGGTTCGGTCCGCCAACAGCAGATAATTAAATGGGCATCTTACAAATGTGATACTAAAACGTATAAAGATTAAAACAGCATTATAATGCATCATCCACCAGCATTTCTGTTTCACTAACCAAAACGGAAAATGATGGCAATGTAACATAGGGTTTTACTTCCTTCGTTGTCATGTGACTTTGATCCTTTGAGCATTATTTTCTTCAAACTCAGTCTTTTTCACCAGTTTAATGAGGTGAGCAGTGGTTTTCAGTGACTTCCATTGCCAATAAGACTGTCTCTGAAGACTTTTTTTTTTTTTTTTTCTTTTTTTTTTTTTATACTACATGTATTTCAGTAGATCCTAAAATGACCCGGTAAAAGGTGTGGCAACACAAAAAGATTCTGGCACACAGTGTGGCAGGATAACACCTGTCACTTTACCCTCCATCTGGTGTCGAAGTGGAACTGCTGTATGAACTGCTGTTTATGTTTCAGGGCAGACGACTTTCACAGACTGCTTCCTTGTATTAATAGAGACAACGTGGCTCATCTTCACCATTGGGACATATCACCTGTCAAATCAATTCATTTTGCCAGTCTGTATAAAGTCCAGTCAGGTTCTGAATATTACTCCTGATAATAAGAGCAAATGTTTCAAATAAATTAGTGAGGAATTCAGTCTGCCTGGAGAAAACGTTACCTGGAGTGGAAACCGTAGGGCTCAGAATTAATAAGAGACGTGACCAGCTTGGGAGCTGCTGTTTCAAGAGGGAAAATTGGTCTCTCATAGACCTCTGTGCTTCTGCTTTAATATCTACTTCCTGCTAGACCAGTTCCCTGGATCACCATTCCAGATCGTTCCTGCAACCATTTGACCCGTCTCACCCTGGACGAAGGGATCTGCCTCTGGGGAAAGGGGCTGTGCTGTCCTGGTGGAGGTGGAGAGGGGGTTATCAGTGTGCTGCTCCCCTTCTGTCAGTGCACACACACTGTGATCAGCGCCAACAGGCCTGAGGAACAGAGCCCAGCCGGACCAAAAGGAGGCAGAGGACTTCAGAGCCACAGACTCTGGGGTAATAATGAAGTTTCACCTGACTGACTTTGCTAGGGCGAACATGCATGGATGTTCTCAGTAGCCATGTAATTAACTGCTGTAGTGAGGTCAATTACAAGTCATTTGAAAACACTTTATGGGTAGCGGGTGGTCAGTTTTCCTCCTTACACACACAAAAATGGAGTCAAACTGGAAAATTTAGCAAAATACAACACGAGGGCTATATAAATGTATCACATAGACACATATCCAAATAATACTTGAGTTGTATAGGATAGTTCCCATCCAGGCTGTTAACCACTTATCAGCTTTTAGGCACGGCTGCAGCAAGTCAAGCTCTGTTGTTTTCTGCTAAGGCCAGGACAGATTCCGGCTTGTCCTGTGGGAGACCTGAAGAACTGATGATAGACCAAGCACTTTAAAGTGATTATGTGAAGTCATAGATAGTTGGACATGAAGGAGAATGTATTTCAGTGCCAAAGATTGTGTCTCTGTGCCTGACTTTTCTGAGGCTGATCATTAAAAATGCCATTCCTGTTGTCCATTTCTTTTGTTAGATCCTGGCCATGAGGTTTGATGCCTCAATCCACTGACCGGAAACACTGGACCTAAATGGCGCAGCATGACTTTGTCCCTGCCTGGCTTAAAATCCCACCCCAGCCCGCCAAGGTGTGTACATCTAGGTATTTGAATGTGTGTGTGGTGATCACAGGGAAAGAAGTGATTGATGGGCAAAGCAGGGAAAGTATAACTGTCTGATTTGCACTTTTTGGTGAACGTGTGTCTGTAGACTTGTGCCTTTTGTATTACTTACATTATGGGGACCAGACCTGTTAACACACTCGCATTGTCGAGACTCAATGAATTTTAGAGTGGCACCATGGTTTAAGGTTAGGGTGAGGTTAAGTTTAGGTGTTACGAAAGTAGTGGTTATGGTTAAGGTTAGGATAAGTCTACAGGAAATGAACGTAAGACAATGTAAAGTCCCCACAAGGAACGAAAACACTGTGTGTGTGTGTGTGTGTGTTTGTGATGAGTCACCCTCAGGGACTGACAGTGCAGTCAGTTCATGGTTCAG